GGCACTACTTCTCTGCAAAACCAAGACGCTTTAATACAGCCTCAACATAAGTCCATTCAATTTTGTCTAAAGCTTTAGCAATGTCAAGCTTAAGAGCCATGAAAGGATGCTTTATTTTCTTAATACAAAGAGAATGCAGAAGCTCGTGAGTAACAATGATATTATCCGTTATGAGACGACCAGGGATACATGCAGACTGAAATTCAGAGACAATAGAATGCAACCACGATTTAAGAGGGTGTTATTGGTTTATTAATTTGTAAATCCATATAGGATTTGAAAATCTCTATTAATTATGAAATCAAGATATATGGATTTTGAAATAACATGTGTTTACCCATGGATTTGAATCCTTCTATTTTTCTCTTTCATTTCCATTCAAATCCATTTAAAACATAATTTGGATTCTCAAATCCAAAAACAAATGACTAAACGAATAACATAGGATTTTAATTAGTATTTATGAATCATAGAACCAATAACACATGATTTTAATTAGGATTTTAAATTCAATGATTGAATAACAAATGATTTTTGTTTGGATTTCTAATTCCTTATAAATCCATGAACCAATAACCCCTCCTAAGTCTATCTGCTAGGATTTTAGAAATTAGTTTAATGCTATGTTGCATAAACTAATCGGTCTAAAATCCTTGACCTGTGTGGGAGACTCAACTTTTGGAACAAGGAAGATAAACGTATGATTGATATTTGGATCTAAATAACCAGTTTGAAAAAAATATTGAATATATTGAACCACACCTTATTTGATTGCATTCCAGTGAAATTTGTAGAAGCCTGCGTTAAATCCATCTGGCCCAGGCGTCTTATATCAATATTCATTTGTGATAGAGCTTGAGCATTTGAAACTCTTTTAAGACAGTCTTTAGTCAACAAAATAATAATTTACTCTTAATTTGTCAAAAAACAAGAAGACGAAACTCTTCATTTTCATATTACTATTTTCGCTGAGTTAATAAAGATAGCACCTTAATAAAAAAGGTTGCAAATAGTCTAGCTATTGATAGATTTTTGACCACGTTGTCCCCAGTTTAAGAACATTTGTGTTCTTTTCTCCACGTTAGGAGGATCAATTCCATCTATAGAAAAGACAAGTATACAAATTGTAATCTGAATTTGACAAAAGTACAAAGCCATCATAGTTCTCTACTTCTCGTTTACTTTGTTTTATGAGTAAAATGGAAGTACTAATATTACCTCTAAATAGCGTAGAGAATGGAGGTAAAATGGAAGGATTTTGAGTCTGTGCATGGATAAGTGATAAGACAAAAGAGAAGCAAATTAGACTCTGAATAATTTGTTTCAAATTTTACCACATTCCACTCGCATTTAGTTATCCAACATTCGAAGTTACTCATATGCTTGAATAATACCTTATTGGATATATATAGTCACATGCAACTTAAAGTGATGAAATGTAAAGTATGGTGGACATCCAAAAAAAAGTAACTGAGTTGATACCTGTAAATGAAGAGCGGCTAGCAACGTTATAGAAAAAGAATTCAGGGTTCGGTGTAGGGTACTGTTAACTTCGTGTGCCTTGGCCCAATGCTTAACCTGACATATGACAATAATCACATTAGTAAACAGAAAAAAATATGAAAACTATGAATACTTCATCAATATGAAAATTATGGTTAGCCTTACAGTCCCTAACATTTTATATTTTCCGTGGTTACTTCACTAAATCTATATCGCGAGCCTCAAAGATTTGAGTAAAGAGAAAAAATTTCTGAAAAATTTAGTCAGCACTCTGAAACCAACATTATAGACAATTGCAGAGACTTGAAAGAAACTACAACTACTGTAGGTCGCTCATAAGACATCTTATAATCATTCAAAGAAATTTTTATAGTATTAAATTACCAACGAGAACTATTGAAAAGGTCATAAGTCATTAATACTAGGAGGATAAACAAAAGCCATAAAAATAGAACTCAAAATCTTACCAACATACAAAGTTTTTGAAACTTGCCATCAGTTTGAGATATAATGCGAATAATCTGTGATTTTAAATTGCCGACTTTGTTTTCAACTGACAAATCACATTCAATAGAAGTCCCTAGATCACAGAATTTGACAATTGGCACCCTAGCAGTGAAGATAGATTCAACATTCCTAACATGCCCTTCTCCTACAAAAGAAGTTTAAGCAAAATATATGTGAAACTCATCATTTTAAGAATGTTATATATATGATATATTCACTTGTCTCTATAGTATTACATGGAAATACAACAATCATTTCCATATTGATTTTTTTTTATATGTGAAAAACAATAATGGGAGTTGGCAATTTTGCATACACCTTAAGAGCTTCCAAAAACTTCTACTCTAGAAGTATATATTAAGCTCCAAATACTTAAATATTGCAAAGATAAAAGTAACCCAATATTGCAAAGATACATAATTTTTTTTTGATACAATCTCTCTCTCTTTATTCAGGAAGTACCACACGTACTCAATAGTCAATAGCCTACTACACACTACAGCCACCCTAGGACATTCATTCACCTGCTTTGGAACTCTAAAAAAACATCGACAAAGTAGACAAAACACACTTACACATTGATGGGCCTTCTCACTACCACAGGCCCAAAAACAAAAACGTCCAGCCCATAGACTTCATCTTCTTCTTCGATACACCACGAAGGGTTTGTAAACGCAGACCGCATCAATCAACACATATCCATATTCAAATTAATCATTCGATGCTTCCATTCTCTTTGTGCGGTTCCAAATCGGAATCATGCGTTTCCCGTGAGCTTCCAAATTCACCTTTTTGAGAATCGCGATTCCATAGCGCTTCCGAACGATTCCGAGCGCTCCCGCTCCCGCTTCCGCTTCCGAAGCGAGAATCGGAGCTTTCGTCACGCTTCCATGCTGCTTAGGTCATTGCATTGAGCAGGGCCGGCGTTTGAGGGGAGCTTATGGAGCAAATGTTCAGGGCCCAAAATATTTGGGTTAATTTAAGGGCCCATTTTTTAAAATTTTTTAAATTTTTTTAAAATAGTTATAGTGTTAAAAGGCCCTTTTTTGTAGGAGTGTTAAAAGGCCCTTTTTTTTTTTTGGTAAGAGTGTTAAAAGGCCCTTTTAAAACCCAAAATTTTCAATTCTGTATCTTTTAATATATTTTTAACCACACAAACAAAAATTTCTCAAAGTATCTGATTTTGCAAAAAAAAAAAATTTACATGATAAAGGGCCCAATTTAAAGATTTGTACAGGGACCGGCAATCCACTGAGCCAGCCCTGGCATTGAGGTTTTTTACAAATTTCTTCCTAGTATCGTAATCAGAAGAAACAGGTCGAAAAGAGCAGTAATCAGCACTGAGATATAGTCATCAATCCTATATCTTCCCAATGCAATGAACTCAGAGTTCTTCACCTTTTCTCGAATCCTTGGCATCCATAAACCAAGTAAAATGATTGAGACTCTCTAGTGAACACAATTTACTAATTTCAGGAAAAAATAAAAATTAGTAGTATTCATTTACATTGACTTGAAATATTATTATTGTCCTCAACCACATTACTTCGAGAGGCCATAACAACAGAGCTGCAATAATATAGAGCCATTAGAAGATTCAATGGGGAAGAAAATTGTGAACAATTAGGAATTACAAATTTATTGGAACCTAATTATTATCGAACTAAGTTCTAAATGACAATGTATCCTCTCTTTTTTAGCCTTTTAATCATTGTGAGGCTAAGATCAGACAAACGACCTGATTGGTTCCGGCTGTACCTTTAGATTTTTTAATGTAGATTTTAAGCTGTAGATGTTTTGGCTGTGACTGTAGAATTAAAAATTTTGAAAAGTTAAAAACTGTATGCTTTAGGAAAAAAAGGCTTTCTACAACCAAAAAATGAAATATAGAAATATTTTGTCTGTGAGAAAGAAAAAAAAATGGAAAGTCAAAACTTCTAAAACTTGATTGGGTTTATTTCAATGCTTTAGAAATTTTTTTGTTTTGTAAAGATTCTAAAGCACTTGCCAGTCAGGCTCAAGCCAAGGTTTCATAATCCAGAACCCAAGCAAAATGTAAATAACAAGGAATGAATTAAGGAGAGAATTCACACTTGAAACACGACTACCTAATCTGAAGCGGATATGGGTTTTAGGGAGTATTTATACTAGTGGAGTATCAGAACTATTCACGCGCTTTTTTAAATATTTAAACTAATATAAATTAAAGTAATGTTTTTAAAATATTGATGTTTTATATATATACCATAAATTCTTTGATAAGACTAATATGCAATGTGATTTAACTATAACCGTTAAAAAGATGGTAGTGAAGACGATAAAATACCGCGCGAAATGAAAAAAAAAATTGAATATAAAGATAAGTTAAATTCTTCTTTTATTTAATGTTTGGAACTTAAACAATTTCCAAAATTATATTCAATGATTTATTGACTTTTACATTTACTACATTTATAAATACAATTAATAGTGTTTTTGTTCATAATATTAATTAATAATTTTACAAATGTCAATTTGCCAGAAGCTTCTAAATGATGAGGCATTCAACAAGGAAAGTTATTTTATCTTTGACTATTATAATCCTTTCTGTAGAAATATAATAATTGAAGTCTTTCGTTTATCTTTGACTAAAAAACTAGGCATTTTAAAACTCTTTTAAGGCATTATATTAGTAAAAAAAAAAATCATTTACTCTTTACTTGATATGGAAAACACTATAACCCCATGACTGATATAATTTAGAAAACCAAACTGGACTTCAGTTCTTTGACTTGAGTTCTAAGGTTATATATAACTTGCTCTGTTTTTCGAGCCAATTCTGTTTTTTTTTTTCTTTCTGTGAAATGTTTTGAAATTCTTCAGAATCATCACATGTGATCAACAGTCTTGAGAGGAACTCTGCTCTCTCTCGCTACAAAGAAAAGAAGAAATCTCGAAGGCATAATTCTCCCTCAAGCACCTTTGTATTACTTTGATAGTCAAAATCAATCTTTTGTATTAATCGAATCATTATCATATAACGTCTATGATCAGATAAAATAATAAAATTTAAGTTATCTTAAGACAAAAGTTACATAAACTGAGCTATTATATAACCCTATTAGTAAAGACCAAACTTCTTATAAAGAAGTCTATCATAATGTGGTGGTGGTGTTGGCATATCAAGACTTCGACTGTAGTCATGCCACAAACCCACAGGCATTGGTTCTTCACCACCACTAAACCTACAGCTCCCGTTTCTTCCAGCATACGTCTTTCGTTTTCCTCTAGGATTTTCGTATATCTCCTCTCTCCCGTTACCGGTTCCTCTTACAGCTTTGTATCCGTTTTCCAAGCAGACTCTTTTGTTATGAGGTTGTTGTGGCGACACAGGAGGAGAAGGCTCCACAACAGCTTGTTGGCTAAACAACTTTTGTGTGAGATGTTCTCCAGCGAACTTGCCATTGAGGAATTCAAAGATGTCATCTACGGTTTTGTTTATGGAGCTGTATATCTTTTCGGCTCCTTTGTCACTAACCACCCTTGCAAAAATTTTAGACACGTCTGTAAAATCCTCAACCTATATAACAACATACACGGAAACAAAAAAAAAAATACTTAAGTGATAAGACAAAAAAAAAAGTAAGAATGTGAATGAAATTTTACTGAATAGGTTTTTACAAAAAAAGTTTACACTAATAACATCCCATTTCTTCTTTTTGGATATCCAAAGACCATTCAACACACTGGCGCAAAGCCCTTGCCTCCAAAGGAATTCTACAGATTGCAACTGTAAGACAGAAAATATTTATTTCGTTATAACAAATAAGCTTCATTTTAATTGATGTTTGGGTTTAAAGGAAAAAAAAAAGATAGTACCTTAATAAAAAAAGTTGCAAACAGTTTACCAAGAGATTCTTGATTACACTGTCCCCAATTTAAGAAATTTTGCGTTCTTTTCTCAACGTTAGGAGGGTCGATTCCATCTGCGAAAAGACATAAGCAAAAACAAGAAGAAAAAGGTGATAAATGTTGAATCTGCTAGAAAACAAATGACCAGTCCAAAACCATCATATAGTTCTCTTTTATTTTGTTTTATGTGTGGTCGTGTGGATACAAATATTACCTTTAAATAGTGTAGAGAATGGAGGTAAAATTGGAGGACTTTGAGTCTGCACATAAGACAAAGGAGAGAACCATTTTAGTCATTCAAAGTTCCTCATAAGCCTCAATAGTATATGACCGGATAGTTACATGCAACTTATCGCGAAGAAAAGAAAACCTATAACACTTTAATCCAACAAGTATAAATAATCAGAAAGATGAAAAAGAGACAAAATTATTCCCCATGCATTTAACCAAATAAACTACATAATTGGCATCATGAAACTCGAAATTCTCCGTAAAATGATCCAACAAGATTAACTGAGTTTATACCTGTAAATGATGAGCGACGAGCAGTGTTATATATCGAATTCAGGGTATGTTGTGACGCACTATTAACCCCATGTGCTTTGGCCCAATGCTTAATCTGACATATGACAATAGTCACATTAGTACTAAACAATTGACAGTGCTTGTGTAAGAGGCCATTAGTGCTAGAAGGATAAACGAAAAGCTTTAAAATAAAAACTGAAAAAATCTTACCAACAAGCAAAGTTTCTGAAACCTATCATCAATTTGAGATATAATACGAATGATCTTGGAAACTAAAATGCCGTCTTTGCTTTCGACAGCCAAATCACATTCAATACCAGTCCTTTGATCACAGAATTTGACAATTGGCACCCTAGCATTGAAGATAGGTACAACATTCCTAACAAACACTTGCCCTGCAAAAGAAGTGTAGGCAAGATATAATATATATGAAACTCATCATTTTAAGAATGTTATTTTCACTTGTCAATATAGTTAACATGTATTGGCATACACATTTATAGCTTCCAATGACTTAGAATATAAGGAAAAAAACAATGTCTCGGTGAAATTTAATTCATTCCGTTAAACGTACCCTCCAAAGAGCGGAGCTTCGTTGCAAATCTTTCAAGAATTTCGAGCTTCTTTACACGAGAAAGTTCAGATGTTCCACTACCAAAGTTAATAGATACATCCAAATCCCTTTGCGGGGAAAACGTATCCATCACGAAAGACCCATATGCCTCAAGGACCGGTCTGCTCTCTTCTAATAAATAAAACCTCTGCTGAATATCGATATCGATCGAGCTTAATAAGATAAAAAGACTACAAGTAAATCATATAATTACCAAAAATATCTATAGCCATAGCATTGAGGTTTTTCACCAATTCCTTCCTAGTATCGTAATCAGCAGAAACCGGTCGAAAAGAGCAGTAGACATCATCTAATACATTATCAAGGTCTAGTAAGACATAACTATCAATGTTATATCTTTTAGATGCTATGGACATAGTGTTCTTCACTTTCTTTTGAATCCCTGACATCGTTAAACAAAGGCCACACAAACAAAAAAGATTGAAAAATTTATAGTGAACACAAACAATATCCAGGAAATTTCAGCAAAGAGTAGTAATAGTATTAACCTTTACTCGAAACATTCTTTTCCTCAGCCACCTTTTTTCTCGAGTCCATTATTACGTGTCTACTCTTGTTTCGAGAAGCAGTGCTATAAAACATGCAATAACATAAAACGATTATAAGATTCAATGAGGATGAACAACTGTGAAACGATTGGATCGGAGTCAAATAGAACTTGCCAAATTCGTGATAGAACCTAATTTTTTTATCAAACTAAGATCTAAAGCAAAAAATTGGCTTTTGAAAATTTAGGTTTTTGATTCGTACAGAGCAAAACGCGACGACTTCTGGAGGCAGTCTCGTTAATGTTTTAAATATATTTTTTAAAGTAGGGTTTTTAAGTATTTCCACCAAAAAAGAAAGGGTTATTTTCGGTATTTAAATATACTAAATACAATACAAAACTTAATATTACTACTATATATACTAAATATTTTTTTTTTCATTTTTCCCAATTTTAATACCATTTAAAAAAAAAATAGTAATTAAAACATTTGTATTCAATCATATATTTTAAATCAGGAAAAATATCAAAAAATACGCGAACTTTCAAATTTGGGACGAAAAAAGAATGAACTTTCGAAATGTCATTTAAATCATAAAGTTTAGGTTGACTATTTTACAAAATGGTGAAGTTTAGTTTGACTTGGCCATTTCGGGCATACCGTTAAATTTTTGTTAACCAGACGATCACAGTGTTAAATTTACGTTAGAAATTTCCGTTGAGTCTAAACGACGTCGTTTTAAAACTCTGAAACGACGTCGTTTCATTAGAAAATAAGATGAAAAATTGCATCAATGGAGAATCAAACAGCTGACCTATTAGACTAATGAGAGGCGCTCAACCGGTGCGCTACAATAACATTATGGTATTATACCAAACAGAACATATATATACTAACAAATAACTATGTAAAATTAATTAAAACTATATACAATTAATTAACAATAACAAAATTAGAAAAAATATTACAAAACATATACAAATATTAAATATACTTACTATAAATATATATTTTGAAATTTTAAATGCTAATTTTATATATAAAGATTTCTTCTTTATTTGGAAAATTATTTTTTCCTAAATTATAAACAAGCAAAACTGAAACTTATAGAATCTAAAAAAATTAAATATATGACATAAAATTTATACAATCTTTCTCACATAAATATAGGATTAAAGATTGTATAAATTATAAGATTAGAGATTGTATAAATATATCTCATATATTTATGTCATATACTTAATTTACTATATTCTATAAGTTTCTGTTTTGTTTTTTTCATAATTTAGGAAACAGTATTTTCCAAATATAGAAGCAAATTTTATATATAAAATTAAATATTTAAAATTTCAAAATATATATTTATGGTAAGTATATTTAATATTTGTATATGTTTGGTTATTTTTTTAGTTTTGTTATTGTTAATTAATTGTATATAGCTTTAATTAATTGTACATAGTTATTTGTTAGTATATATATGTTCGGTTTGGTACAATTCCATAATGTTATTGTAGCGCAACGGTTGAGCGTCTCTCATTAGTCCAATAGGTCAGCTGTTCTCCATAGATGCAATTTTTTCATCTTATTTTCTAATGAAACGACGTCATTTCATAGTTTCAAAACGACGTCGTTTAGACTCAACGGAGAATTCTAACAGAAATTTAAAACCGTGATTATCTGGTTAACGGAAATTTAACGGCATGCCCGAAATGGCCAAGTCAAACTTAACTTCACTATTTTGTCAAAAAGTTAACCTAACCTTTATGATTTAAATGACATTTCGAAAGTTCATGTTTTTTTCGTCCTAAATTTGAAAGTTCGCGCATTTTTCGACATTTTTCTCATTTTAAATCAGTTTGCGTTTTAGTGAATTTTAGATGATTTTAGGTGAATTTGAGAAAATTTTGGGAAGTTGTTATGATTTCTTGTTAAATCCTACTGAAAATCCGTGAGATTAGAGCATACGTATATGTAGTTCTATTATTTAATTTGAGTTTAAATAAATGAAACTAGAAAAATATGCCCTTAATTTTCTAAAACTTAAGATGCCCTAAGCCAATGTTAATTTTTTTTTACCATGGAAGCAGGCCCTAGATCCCCGATTCGAAGTCCAGAAGCAAGATGGTTTCAGCAATGCGGATTAATGATATATATGGTTTCTGCAATACGGATTAATGATATATATAAATTTTAATGTTGATTCAAAAACCCGTCCCGCCATATAACCTCGTCCTGCAATATAATTTGTCTTGTATTATTTTTATTTTTATTTATTCAAATATTCATAATATTATAACTTTTTATTGAATTTTGATATAATATAATATTTAAAACTTTTCAAAATTTTAAAATTTAATATTTTCTGTAAAATCAAATAGTTAAACTAACGACATAATTAAACCGTATACAAACTTTTAAATTTGGATGTTTGTTAATTTAAACTTCCCTTTCATTCTGATTTAGATTCATTTTGATCTTATTTATAATATGATTTTGAATCATTATCTAAACACTTTAGCCAATGTGGGATGTTGAACACACACTTTTTCATCAATTGGGTAATATATGTCCGTCTTTAAAATTTTGAATCACAATATATGCAGGAAAAAATTGAGATTTTTTTAACTTTATATATTATATGATAATTCAAAACAGTTTAAAAAATCAAACAAAGATGATAGGAGAATCATAATTTTAAATCTTAATCAAATCTTCTAAATATCTATATTGATAAATATGGAATATCTTGTGTAAGAGTTCAGTTTTTATAACCCGATCCAAGTTAAATATGAAATATCCGAGTCGGGTACCAAATTTGTCGGTTCACAGTTTAACTCACCCGTTAACAAATGTATTTCAAATATACTATAGAGATTACGGTTAGTGGTTATGGTTTTTAACCATTTTATACGATTACGGTCCAAAATATGGTTACGGTTTGATTTTGGTCATGCCTATTTACATTGTCGTTAAAACACTAAATGTTGTGTTTTTGCTTACTGAAAACAGCAAGATTTTGTCGCTCATAAGACACGATTTGTCGATTTCTTCCAAAAACAACCAGACTTTCTGTCGCTAACCTTAAATCGTTCATACTCTTAAATCCCCAAAATCTCCAAATTCCCAAATCGATGAATCCTAATTTCAAAGAAATTGATATTCTCTGAATTTTTAGTGGCTAAAAAGTATTGGTAAAGATTAGAAGTGAGTTGTTGTGGAGATTAGAACGAATCCACAAACAAACCGGAGAATAATTTGCAAATTAAATCTCAAAATTTATTGGTAATCTGGTTCGATAAAAATAATTTGCAATTAAATCTATTATTTATGTGTTGTTACTGATAAAAACAATTATTTATGAGTCAATATTAATTTTTATTTTATTTTATGTATACCTTCCCATTCATCCCTTGATTTTCCCTCTCTCACTCTTATAAATATTTGTTTTCTGTATTTTATTTTCTGTATACCTTCCCATATTTGTTTCCTTACCCAAGAATACTGATTTTTGATCAAGCGACGTAAGCCCATAAATTCTTAGTATGTCTTTATTACGTGATGAGCACACTATAAGAACATATGCAATGCAAGTCTCTCGCCATAATGTCTCAATTATAAAAATAATAATAAAATAAGAAATAATAATATTTAATTATTTGAGTCTCTCAAAAAACTGGAGAGAGTCTCTCAAAGTCTCTCCTATGAGAGACTCTCTCAACTTTTTTGAGAGACTCACAAAATTAAATATTATTATTTATTATTTTATTATTTCTTTTGATTGTGAGAGACTTTGATAAGAGACTTGCATTGCACATGCTCTAAGAAGTGATCGAATCGCCAAAATTTGATGAGCTCGTAGCTTAACAAGTTAATCAACATTAATTGAGCTTAGAAACTTTTGTCATTGAATCACTAAAGCAGAAACAAAAAACAAAAAAAAGATTATAAGGTTGAAACTTTAAAACAATCTTTACGAATTTTTTTTTTTTAAAAATGTCCTTAATGAATTACAACTTCTAAAATTCGGTTTGAGTTTCCATATTAAATCATCTGAGGTTTAGAACTGACTTGCTTAACAAGTCTTTGATTATCTCTTAAGTATGATTCTAACAAAACTAAACTCAAACATAATTCCATATTAAACTAAAGTAACCAACATCACCTCGATACCAAGTGAGTTTCTGATAATTTGTTAGTTATCTCTTTCAATAGAGTTATTATCTGCTAATTCACAATTCTAGAAATTTATGAAAAACAAATATATATATTCGAATATAACATGTGTGTGAAATTTTAGACTTCGTAAATGTACCAGACGAAAAAAAAAACTTGTTTAGACTTACCAAACAACTATATATAATAGCTTTGCGAAACTATGAATCAAACAACTATAAATTAAAATCTAAATTACTTCACCAAAGAACTATACTTTGTTAGATAACTTTTTTCAAAGAAAGACTACATCATTAAATAACTTTGCAAGAATATTACGCATAGAAACGTTATAAAGTATATGAAATTATGCACATACCTACTTCTTTGTAGAACTGACAAATCTTTTTTTTTTAGGGAGATTGGTTTGAGAAAAACTTATATATACGAACCTAACAATAGAGTTGATATAGGTTTGGGGAATTAATTTGGAGTTTTATTATTAAAAATTAGCCTAAATTAATATGTCATGATCTTCAGGTTTTATCAAAATCAATAAAAAAAAAAAAAAAAAAATCAACAAAAATTAATCTCTCACGTGGGCTAGCTAATGTATTTCCATTTTCCAATCAAGAACCCAAAGTATTTCCATTTTTCTTAGTGAGAAAAAAAGGAAACATAACAGAAGTTTATAATTATAAATAATCTTTCTATCACAAACTTAGAGAGAAAGCGAGCGAAGAATGGATATTGAGTCTGAGATTTCAATGTCTTCTTACTTCAAACGATATGGTCAGGTCAAGTTCAACGAATTCTCAAACACACCTCTCAAAAAACCTAAATATTCACCGACGACGAGTGTTATTGAGATTTCTGATTCATCGTCAAGCAACAACTCCATGATCCCTCCTCTTCCTCAAAACCCTATTTTCACTGTAAAACTCTCTCCGATCATGCTCCATCTACGTCGTTGTTCGAGGAAGATTAAAAAGAAGAAACTTACACAGCCGCTTTTGAAGAAGAAGAAGAAGAAGAAGAGTATTAGTAGCAGTGTCAAATTTCTAAGCAGAGGATCATTCAACGCCGCCGTTCAGAAACGTTCCACCACCGTAACCCGCAACGGAGGA